CTGCCATATGCAGATGACACAACCTTCCTTGCTGAAAGCAAAGATGACTTGAAGCACTTACTGATGAAGTTCAAACACTGCAGCCTGAAGTATGGATTATAACTCAACGTAAAGAAAACAAAAGTCCTCACAGCAGCAATATGCAGCATTATGATAAATGGAAAAAAGATTGAAATTGTCAAGGGCTTCATTTTACTTGGATCTACAGTCAACACCCATGGAAGGAGCAGTCAGGAGATCAAATGATGTATTGTATAGGGCATGTCTGCTGCAAAAGACCTCCTTCAAGTGTTGGAGAGCAAAGATGTTACTTTGAAGTTTAAGACGTGCCTGACCGAAGCCATGGTATTTTCAAAAGCCTCATGTTCTTGTGGGAGCTAATCATAATTAAGGAAGACCATAAAAGAAGTGGTGCATTTGAATTATGGTATTGGCTAAGAATATTGTATGTATCATGGACTGCTAGAAGAGCAAACAAGTCTGTCTTGAAGGAAGTATAGTGAGAATGCTCCTTAGACATGAGAATGACCAGTCTTTGTCTCTTACACTTTGGTCATGTTGTCAGAAGGAACCAGTCCCTGGAGAAGGATATCATGCTAGATAAAACAGAGGTTCAGCAGAAAAAGGGAAGACCTTCAGTGAGATATATTAACACCTGGCTGTGACAGTGGACTCAAGCGTGGCAACAGTTGTGAAGATGGTATAGCACTGGGCAGTGTTTCATCGTGTACATAGTCTTTCTATGAGTTGGAACTGACTAATAGTAATTGCCCCATAGGGTTTCTTAGGCTGTAATCTTTACAGGAGCAGATCCCCAGGTTTTTCTCTCCCACAGAGCCTTTTGGTTAGCAGAACAGCAACAACCTGTCCTATCAGGGTTCCTGCCAGGAATTCAACTGGAACCTGATCAATATTTCCAATTGTTGTACAATCCCAAAAGGCAGAAAGATATTTCAAAATAGTTTGGAATGGCATAGTTGTTTCCTTAATGGATAAGCATATTTTAATTCTTGGAAGATTTAGAATTAGACATAGAAACTTAATAGAATCAAAGCCATAGTGTTATTATTTTTAATTCAAAGGATTTCTGCATATTTGATATTAAAGTAGTTGTTTAAAATAACTTGGCCTATGTAACAGGCTAGCCTGTATTTCCACTTTAAAATGCCCAATGAAGTAATTGATTTAGACTTTTGATTGAGAGGATTTTGAAGTCTTAGTAGGTTTTTTTTTTTTTTTAAGCAATAAAGTATTTAAGAGACTTTATACAGGCCTCTAAGAGTTGTTTAAGAGAAGATTTGAAAGTTGTATCAGACAATCCTAGTATTAAAAAGAATTAAATACATTAAATTATATTTATATCTATATTAAAATACAGTTCCAGATGTTTTAAGGAGTTTAATAAGGTTTGTAAAATGGACCAAATGCTAATCAAAAATGATTGTAAAAATGTGCTGATTTATAATGAAAATTATAAAACATATGACTTCAATGTAAAACTTAAAAGTAGACTGGTATATTTTTTTTAAAAAATAACTTAAATATAACTTTTTAAAACCAGGTAAACTTGAATAGTATTTTCTGTGTACAAAGTCATCTTTATGGTTCTTTCTAAAAATCACATGAAATAAAGTGACTGACACTGTGTTTAAGTCATAGTAGACGTTCACTGTTAAATTTGAATTTAAAATTTGAATCAGCAGTATTCCTGGTGGTTAGGCAAGAAGAAACAAATAGGAGCCTGAACTTAATTAATATTCATGGTTTGAAAGAGAATATAAAAGAAAGAACACAGGCTTTTGGAGGGTAATTTTGCTCATCTAAAGCAGAGACATAGGGTTATGATAAGCTTCCAGTGAAATGGTGACTGTAATGTTAGACCCCAGCAGATAGTAGGTACTTAGTAAAGACTCATTGTATTTGTAATTTTTTGAAACTACTTCAATCAAAGTGGGCTATTGATTGGATCATCAATTAACTTAAAGGAGTATCATTTACATAGACCACCTTGCTATGCAGTCCAATGTGGTTGTTCTGCATATTGATCTCATTCATTCAACCAAATGCCATAGGAAATTGAAAATTAGTTATGTATGCTATATATCACACATATCAAGCTACTCTGCTTAAAAAAGAAAATGAGCAAGTGTGGGAGCAAGAGACATTTCTGCTATCTGGATGAGGTTCAGATAAAATTGCATGTAATACAGAGCCCTGGATTTATTTCTTTTTGGCCACTCAGACAGCCCTGAGCAGTGTGCATAGTGAGGCCCTGAGCTAGAGGATACTTGGCTCGTCTGCAGACATTGTCATTTAGGTCTGGCTACTGGTAATTAGGCACTTCTAGCTGGGCTCTGCTAGCAGCAAGCCTTTGAGATAAATTGCAAAATCTGTACAACCATCTGAAAGATGGAGAAGTAGAGCAAATGACACTACAGAGGATATTGGTGCTTCTCAAAAGTTTGAAAGTGAATGCTTTAGAGAAGCAATCCTAAAAATGGAATTTAGAAATCCTTTTCCTATGGTTAAAGGAAGGGTCAGTTCAGTCACAGAGTCAGGGTCTGAGAAGATCCTGACAGGCAGAATGATGGGCTTCATCTGACAGGATAAAATGGAATATAAATAAATGTAAGGTGGTTCTGTATTTGGATCAGAAAACCCCAACTGTGCATGAAAAGACAGGGCAGGGGATGGATCTGAAGAGTAGCCCGTATGAAAAAGACCTGAGAGTTCAAGTTGGTGTAACTTAACAGCAGTCCACAAAAAGCAATGCAGTGTTAAGCTACATTAACAGTGTTTTGGATGAGAGAGGAGATACGTCCACTCTTTTGTGGACCTGTCATAACAGGAGCATCTCTGCAGTTCTGGATTCCATGCTATGAAAGGAAAATAGACAAACAGTGGACACAGGATGGTGTCTGAGAATGTTGCAAAGCTGCTTGTAGCTGACAAAGGAAGAGAGAGGAGGGTTAGTCTGGCTGGGTATAATTCCAGGAGGACTTGAAAGGTATCATTAATATCTAAAGGGCTGTCATTTGGATAAGGGACTAACGTAGTTCTTGTTGACTGAGGGATCTAAGATGAAAGTTACAGGGAGCCCCAAATATGGACTGTCTTTTACGTTTTAAATATATTTGAAGATGGAATGGGTTGCTCCCTTAATTCTAGAAGTGTTTGCTTAGGCTTATGGAGACCTGAGTTGTTGTTGTTATGTGCTGTCAAGTCAGACCTGACTCATAGCGACCCCTCCTTGGGTTTCCAAGGCAGTATCACTACGGAAGTAGATTGCCCATCCTTCCTTCCAAGGAGTGGCTGGTGGGTTTGAACCGCCAGCCTCCTGGTTAGCAGTCAAGTGCCTTAGGCACTACACTACCAGGGCTGCTGCTTATGGAGACTAAGACTTGGAAATGAGTATGGATGGCCCAGAGGTGTTTTCCAGCTTTAAAGCTCCGTGATTTCTTTGCCTCCTGTAATGATGATGTCCAGAAAGATCCTACACAGGTAAGTAGTGAGCAAGACCAGGACTCCAGCTGTACTCTAGGCAGTGAAGGGAGAGTGTGGGATTCAAACAGTGTTTCCATGAGGATACTCTTGTGTGGCTTCTTCTCAGTGCTTGCCAGCCAGTTCTTTACTCTGCCAGGGGTGATGTGGGGGCATGAGGGTACTCTCTTTCACCAGTGGCTGTGTTATTCACTGATTGTTTCTGTGTGCCAGACAGTATGTTAGGTACTAGAAAGACTTTGAGAAATAAGACAAAGTTCTTGCCCTCTTTGGAGTACTTAATATGGTTTATATATAAGACAACAAACACAAATTATACAAATAACTATACAGTTACGATTATAGTTAAAATTTGGATACATATTAGGAATGAAAACTACAGAGATGTGCTGCTGGGGATTGTAGAGCCAGGAAAGCAAACCTAGTTGGGTGGGTAGAGACAACTTCCCTGAGGAGGTGACATTAAGCCTTGAATGGTAAGTTGGAGTTCTCTCTATAGTCACATTAAAGCACATGAATGAATGCCACAGCTATAGAATTCAAACTTGTTCTCGGCTGGAAACAGTTCTAATTGGTGTGGTGCTGATACAAAGCCTGCCAAAGACAGTATTATATAATAGAGTTTTCGTAATCTGTTTTACATGTAGTGAAAATAAGTACCTGATGTTAAAGCAAGTTGAAGTCGTAAGTATGATCGGCTCATGTGTCATGTGAGTGGATTTTTATTTCACCTAGTATCTTATTAGTAATACATTCCCTACTTAACTTCAAGGGATATGTTCTGCCATTATGTTACAGTTCTTTGAAGTCAGGTTATGTGTTGAGACGTCTCAATATCCTGGGGTAGGGATGGGAAGATTTGGTTTATGCTTACAGGGATTTTCTATCCCCCGAAGGTTATAAAGCTTGGGGGATGTTGAGTCTTTTTTCTTTTTTTCCTTCACCGACAGGATCTTGTGTGTAGTAAAAGTTACTGGTGTGTAGGCTGTCTTTAGGATATATCTTTTACACCATTGCCTTCTTATACCTAGTTGTAAGAGCTTCCATGGCCTTAGGGCTTCATTCTCTCAGGGTTATTTGGATTCTTACTGGAGTTAAGGACTAGCAGAAACCTGGATGAAAATGAATTTGAAAAGTAAGAGACTGGAACAGAACTGGCTTTATTTATTCCCAGATAACCTTTGTTGTATTTGTTACTTGTATAAATGACCACTCATTTAGCTACAAGCATGCAAACTGCCTTACAGGGCACATTTCTGTCCTCATTTATTCTATCTTCATTTGCTGGCCCAAGTTCAAAATTAAATGCCATTCATCTTAATTTCCCTTAGTATATATTTTTTCTCCCCACGACTGTCCCTTTTTATTTTTCTAGTATTAGTAATCTGACAACTACAACTTTTAAATTCTTAGATTCTGAATGTTATTTTTAGCTTTCAGGGTTGGTTGGTTGGTAATTTTAAGTAACCCACTTCATTGTGAATTCTTCTTTCTTTCAGGTAGGAATGAATTGATAGCCAGATACATCAAACTCAGGACAGGGAAGACGAGGACCAGAAAACAGGTAAAATAACCGACCTGGAAAGTGTTGCATGTCAGCGAATGGCCCAAGGAGGCATTTTGGCTGCAGTGGCTGGCTGTGCTTCGGCTCCTAGGAGCCCCCAATTTGAGTTCCCTGTGAAGACGTCAATGTTTTGAATTGGCTCAGTTTTCACTGTTCATCATTTCAGTGACCCTTTATTGCGTGGTCTCCCAAGTTCTTTTTATATCCATACTCAGGCCCTAAATGGGCATGTTTCTGCCAAGGACAGTATGTAAACTGCTCCTGTACTGTAGTTCAGAACTTACATTTCTTTTCCAAACTGTGCACCTGTATACATTGCAGAGGCTGCAGGTGCAAATGCACTTGCAAGTCCTGAAATTGTGAGACTTTGCACATTGTAAAATCCTGGAACAATTACCTATCAGTCATCATTTCAATGAATAACGTTAGCAGCCTGAGTACTGGCCTAAATATAATACTGAATGATGTGCGTCCAGGGAACTGTTGCTCCATAAGCTGTTGCTTTTTGTCGGTATCTGCTGTGACTGAAATGAAGTTACAACTTAAAACCTTTGTGCAGAGTAGTGTTAGGAATTTTCCTCTGCCCTTTGTCAAGGCTCTGCCTCCCCTGGTTTTTTCAGATGTAAAGCAGCACCAATCTCTGAGGTGACCTAGTTCAGAATTGAAATGGAAGAAAAATTACTGTTAACTAAACAAAGAAAAGAGAAAAGGGGATTTACAAAAACAAACAAACAACCACCATGTCATGGGTGAGTTGTTACAGACAACAATATTTTTTTAATGTTGATCTCTGATGAATGATCTGGAATGGATCTTTGAAAATTTATAATCAAACCACAAGGCAAGGTAAACTGGGGTCTCCTTAAGCCTAAGCAGCAGATTCCAGTTCTTTTTCTGTTGGTGAGTTATTTGCATGAGTGTTTATGACGGGGGAGAGGCTGTTCCCCAGGAATGCTACATGTGCCACGGCCAAGGGAGCCTGGTGCTGAGTCAGCACAAAGGACAGTGGCCTTCTGCCAGGGCACAGAGGCAGGCCATTGTCTATTTAGGGGATGTCCCCCTGACAGTGGCCCTCATCAATTCAGAGAATCCTGTAAGAACAAAATTTGGGTGAAAACAAACAAAAAAACCAGGAGCTGGATGCGGAGGTGAGGAGGATGGGGCAGTTCCTGCTTCTCTGTGCCTAAAAAGTATGAAAGCAAATTGAAGAAACTGAGTAAGTTGAAACTCAGAGACAAAGATAAAAGGATCTTTTATTAACATAAATCCCGTTTGTAGAGTTGCTGGTCGTTTGAAATGAAGTAATCGCCATGCAGTTTGAGTCGCTGAACTTTGAAATGTCAGGCTCTAAATTTCTGAAACGGGCAAATCTGATTCCCTCTATTCTGGAAGCTCTGGACTTGGGCTATCTGCTTGTCTGTGAGCTCTGGTCATTTTCACAACCCCTTCACTGGGGCTGTCTTCTAAATTTAACCAAGTCTCTACTGAAAAAGATGTAGATTTGTTTACCTATTGGAATCATTGTGCTTCAGAAGTGGAGCTTGGCTTCTTTTCCACACCCTGGCATCCTGGGGATGTTTTTAGGCAGCAGTTGGTGATACCTCTCCAATGTGAATTTGTTGTTCAGCAAATCCGTGTGGTTTTCAATCCAGATTTTTAACAGGCTGGCTGGCTGGCTGTATTCACACATTTCGCTTTGTAATAATATGCAAATCCACTTGGCGTCCAGTCAACACCCAAAAGAGTGAAAGGATTAAAGATTATTTATAAGGGCAAAAAAAAAAATAAAAAGCTCTGCTAACTGGGACTTTCCATTTCTCTTCGAGATCTAATTTACATGTCAGTATTATTGTAACATTGGCTACAGAATCCAGAGCTCTTAATGAGATCAGAATACAACTGACAGCTTCAGCTTTTTGATTCTGCAGAACGTGCTAATTTATGGATCCCAAAAAAACCAAACCTACTGCTGTCGGGTCCGTTCTGACTCGTAGCGACCCTATGGGACAGAGTAGAAGTGCCCCCACGGTTTCCAAGGCTGTGACTCTTTATGGCAGCAGAATGCCATCTTTCTCCTGCAGAGTGGATGGTGGGTTTGAACCGCTGACCTTTCTGTTAACAGCTGAGTGCTTTAACCGCTGTACCACCAGGGCTCCTAATTTATAGTCTCCTCTAAATTGAGAAAAAGGGATTTTCCCTGCCCATGCTGAGAAGCTATAAATATTTTCACTGAACCGCTACCCTAACCTTTTTAATTTCCTAAAGAAAACTACCCCACTTCTCTCCCTCTCATCCCTCCCAGAATTCGTTCTTCTCAGTGCCCATAATTTCTCCGGGGTGGGAGAACTCACATTGGATTAATCTAAACTTTCACCCTGAATCATCAAGTCACTGCAGTGATGACCCAGTCTGAAAAGCTTAGAGCAGCGCTGGGGGCTTGGTGTCTGGCTGGGATGTGTATTCCTAACTGCAGAGCTTTGTTGAGATGCAAATAACCTCCCCCCACCCCAACCCTCCCCCTGAAACCCTCCCAAGGAGTAGCGATTTTATATTTGATTTCCTTTTTTTGTTTTGTTTTGTTTTGTTTTGTTTCCCCTCATAAACCCGAACAATGTAGGTGTCTAGTCATATACAGGTCTTAGCAAGAAAGAAAGTTCGAGAAATTCAAGCCGCCATTAAGGTACGTCTGGCTTGCCCAGTTGTAGGGGGCTTTTCATCTCCATGGTTACAGGCTTTTCCTTTGTTTCCCTCCCTTCCCCTACCCTGCAGGTGTCTAGTCACATTCAGGTTCTTGCCAGAAGGAAATCTCGTGATTTTCATTCCAAGCTAAAGGTATGCGCTTTCCTGCTTTTTGGCTTGTGGTTGCTATGCATCTCACTTCCTGTTTTCCATGGTGACTGGTGAATGCCTGGTGCCGGGATTCTGTAACCTAGTTTCCTCGCATGTGAGAGCTGTTTACATTTCTTTGTGTCTAATCTCTCAGTTTCTGTACTAGCCTTACATTAAACTCTGTGTGTGTGTGCGCGTGCGTGTGTTCCTAATAACAATGCGAATGCAGCAGAGAGCTGGTCTTGATAACTTTTCAGCCCAGAAAACTGATTTTTTTTTTTTTTGACAGTCTACAAATGTCCACCAAGCAGCCTAGGGACAGGGGAGGAAAAAAGTCCAGAGAGGCAAAGTTGATGCAGAAATTATTTAAAAAGAAAAATAATTTCCAGAGTGGTCATGAAATTACTTTTTAAAAAATATTTAGAAATAATTTTCACGTGTGCTTTTGATGTATTTCCAAAATTTTTATGCAAAACAGGTCTTTTTCATGTAATGTTTCTTCCAACACAGAGAGTATTTACAGCCAGAATTCTTTAACCTTACTTAATACTGCTTTTTAAATGAATGGCTCTGTTACTTAAAAAAAGAAATTTGAGGTGTGGTCTTGAAAAACCAAAAAGATGAATTTTGGAGATAGGAAAGCTCTTAATCAAGCTCATGTTTGCAGTTCCATTTATACAGTTTAATTTTTTTTTACATGCACCTCATTTTCTACCCTTAAAATTATTACATAGCAAAAACAGAGCCATTGACAAGTTTAAATACCAGTTCTCCCTTTCCAAAATCTTCAGTAAAGAATACACAACTTTCTTCCATAATGTTTTATTTTAGAAATATAGAGTGCTTTTTGCTTGCTTGGAGGAGTTTTACTTTATAACAAAAATGAATTCGAATCCCTTAATACTGCCTTCCCTGTATGCTTTTTGTTTTGTTCTGATTTTGCCATACATTAATTTGTTTTTGTTTAAAACCAAAAACTGCAGTGTAATTTCACAGCTTTGAGTGGCGAACACTGGGACCCTTCTCAAAGTCCTCCAACTTTTTTTTTTTTTTGCAACAAGGCTGGCTGTGGAACAGGACTAGTGCTAGGAAGGAGCATTTGGTGGTGTTGCCTTTTGCAGTGGGCTGGCTCGCTCGCACGTGTGGCTGATGGTGGCTGGCTTTTAGCTGCACTGGCTGAGCAGTTGGAAGACTAAGATACTTTCATAGAGCCTGCTTTTTAACCAGAGGTGCAGTACTCTCTATGGATGTAACTACCCCAGTGTTTGCTGAATTCTGACTCTGTTTCTAAGTTTCTCTGAGCTAACAAATTAATGATGTACAAAGAAGTTTACAGATACTAGTTTTGTGTTTCCATCTGAGATGTTATGAATTGCTCTATTTCTGCACTGTTGGTGTGGTTCCTGTCAGCCCCACAGGGCACAGAGCCCTGACTGAAAGATCTATAAATAAAACTATCCCATTTGGAAGAATGCAAGAAGCATTCTCTTCTCACTTGATGATTTTAAGAATCTTCTCAAGAGGAATAAGTTTGGGGTTGTAACATTGCTTTTATACACGTACCTACACACAAACACAAAGCTATATTTATTTTGTTCTTTAAAAAAAAAAAAAAGACTCACCACCCCCCGCTTTCAGGCCTGGCCCATCTCTTTTGGGTCAGGCAATAGAGGCGATGGAAGCAGAGATAGAAGGCTAGCAACTGGCTGAGCATTTAAGCTCCAAGAATCTTGTAGTTCTGCCTCCATCGTCTTGTAGTTCCTTTCCTTCTTCCCTATCACGTTATTCTTGGGAAAATGAACTCCTTTGTTTTTTTCTATCAACTAATACCAATTGAGTATCCCAGGTGTGGAGCTCGTCATGGTGAGCAGTTAACACCCAGTCCCCTACTTACAGAGCTGGCAGTGTGAAGGGGAATGTGAAGACAGTACAGTGTTGGATAAATGTTAGCTGATAGAGCCAAAGTAAAATGCAGGGGGAATTCTAGGGACGATTTGCATAGAAATAATACTTTTGAATTTGGTAACTGAAAGGCAGGAGTTACCGTAATGCTCAGCCACTTGTATTGTAGGCTTTCTCGTGTAAGGTCGATATGAAATGAGTTCCATTATGCTGGTTTTGAAGAATAATTTAAGGAAATGGGAACTCAAAGAGTTCAGTTGACTTTACTACAAGTTACAAAGCTTAGTAAGTGGTAAAGTCAGAATTCGAACTCAGATCATTCTGAATCTTAAACCACTGTTCTTTCAGGCAGAGTTTCATCTGGTGGAGATGGGAGAAAGCTTTAAGCAAAAGGCTTCATGCCATTGCATTGTTGTTGTTATGTGCCGTCAAGTCAGACCCGATTCATAGCGACCCCTCCTTGGGTTTCCGAGGCAGTATCACTACGGAAGTAGATTGCCCCATCTTCCTTCCGAGGAGTGGCTGGTGGGTTGGAACCGCCAGCCTTCTGGTTAGCAGTCAAGTGCCTTAGCCACTATGCTACCAGAGCTCCCATGCCATTGCATAGTGTGTACAATCTATAACCCCTCATATTCCTTGGGACTGGGCATGCAGACCTGGCTACCAGCCCTCCAGTCGGCATCCATTTTAGAAGGAAGGTGAATTTTTAACTTGGAGCTCTTGGTTAAAACATTTTGCTCTTGGGGTTGATGCCGTGTTGGTCATGAATGACTCGGGGGATGACGTGGCCTTGGCCGCAGAGCTGCTGTGTCACCATCCTGTGGGCCTTAGAGGGGAGCAAGCCTGACTTTGACCTGCTTGCTGGAGATGCTGTTGCCTTCACTTCTTCCTTGGTCACTCTGTCCTAAAGACACAACCTTTACCTTCCTAAACAGCCATTACTTGGAAATGGGCTCAGGTCTGTTGGTCTTAAAGGAGAGGTGGATTTCATCCACACTCTTGTTCAGCTCTGGAGTCTTAAAGAAGATTTGAGGGGGCAGGGACCAGTATCCTCACCAAGTTTGGGATAGGATCAAGTGAATGGTCACAACCTTTTTGGTCTTCCACGTCAACTGATGGGATAAACTCACTACAATGAAGTGGTCATCCCAAGAGCCAATAAGGAAAGCTTCTGGGAGGGCCATGAGGATGGCAGGAAGTATCCAAGCTTGTAAGAGACACTGAGCTTTGCCTGAGAAGATGTAGGAAGGTTTCCTAGAGAAGGTGGTGATGACTGACCCTCTCAGGATCTGCCCTTGCAAGCATTGCCTCAGCCAAGTAAGTGCTTTTCCCCCTCCTGGGGTCACTGCCAGGTGTGTCTTCCATGGGAGCTCTCTTGTTTAAAAGGCTCTCTTTACTTCTTTTAGGCCAGTGGTTTTCCAGCTGTTTTTAAGCAGCAAAACTTGTTTCATATTTAACTCTTACTTGAAACCTTCAATATATAAATGAGTAAAAGCTGTTTTAATTGATGCTGCACCGCTCTCATCATTAGCAGTGGCCCTTTGTTCCACTGAATAAAGTTTAACAAGCCACACACAGTGCATTAGGCCGAAGGCAGAGAAAGGACTGCCAGCCTCTCAAGTTGTCCCTCCCAGCTATTCCAGAACAGCTCATGTGCTTCACTTCCAGATCATGTTTTCTAAGTTCTGGAGCTTGTCCTATACATACCACGTTCCTTTGAAGACAACAGTAGACTCAAGGAAATCATCAGGAGAGAATGGTCATTCTAGTGTCACATTTAGAGATAAGTTACATACCTATAGCAGTCACTCTCTTGAAAATCTCTTAGAATAAATTCCAAAGGCCACCTTTATGCTTCTGCTGCCAAGGGTTCAAAATCCACAGCGGTTCTCCAAGTGCTTATTTATTGGCTAGATCACTTCAAAATATGTGGCTTTTAATTTTAGTTTTTTAAAATAATTGTTATAGCAAAAATCTAGAATTTCTACACGGATTTGAACATTAAAAGCACAGAAATGATGGCTTAATTCAGTCTAGTAAATTTCTTATTAAGAATCCAGTGTGCTCCAGGCACTTCAGTAGATGTTGAGCATAAAAGTTGAATTAACAGAGTTTCTGTTCTTGAGAAACACTAAACTTTTCTGTTATTTTTCGCCCTGTATTTTGGGGAAATACATGATTTCCAGTAAGCTATCTCTAGCTAGAGGGCTCAGTAGATATTAAGGAGGGTAGTGCAAATGCAGCAAAGAGAACGATTAATTCTGAATGTGAGAGAATTGAGAAAGTTTCTCAGAGGAGATGCCATTAGAACCAAGTCCAGAGGGAAAATGGCTAGCTAGATAAGAGACATGCATTGATTTGGGTGAAGGGAAAGGCAATATATATATAAAGAACTGAGTCCAGAAGAAGGCAGAGAGTTTCTTCTACAAATGGGATGTCAGAGGGACCATGAGAATATCATGTCGTTGGAGGTGTGGGATGGGAAATGAGAGTGGAGGAGCCTGATAAGCAGGTGTTGGATCTTCCCACCAAGGAGTGAGGATACCTCTCTGGACAATGGGGACCACATGGACATTCCAATTTACAATTTAGGGAGCTGTGTCTGGCCAGCTTGGGGAGGATAGTTGAGAGAGGCAAAGCTAATGGAAGGGAGAGAATTCAGAAGCAGCTGTGAGAGTCCAGGTGAGAGAGATGGGTGAGGGCTTGGATTAGGGACCAGCCACACACTCTTGGATGACAGTAGTCCTTATTGCCATCCTTCCCTGGCTTCCCAGTTCAGTTCTACTCTCTGTCTGCTCTGTACTCTCTCTCACTGTTTTTAAAGAATAAATTATTTTTAAATGTTCTATTCTTATTAAAGCTGAAAAGTATACAATTGATTTTCAATAGCAGCAGTTAAAACTTATTAAAGATTAGGTTCTCATAAGGTAATGGTAGTTAACTTGGAGTGGGCATCAAAATTAACTATGAGATTCTTAAAGTTGCCAAATTTTAAATGTAATAAGTTAAAAGATACAGAGAATAACCTATTAAAGACTTAATTTCCTACTACCCACATATAATCATTTTTATTATGACATACCTCCTTTCATTTTTTCAAA